GATTTGTTTCTGAATTATAAAATCCTGAATCTTAAAGAAAGTATTTCACAGTACAAAGAATTGCTTCTAATGATAAACAAACGAGGCTGGGATGTACCTTGATTCAGTGCCTGCCTAGCATGAATGAGGTCCTAGTTTCCTATATAGCATGATTTTAAAAGAAAAAAAAAGATAAGCAAACCTCTGAATTCAAGACTAAAACACATCACTACATTAGATGGGTGATCTTGGCTAAGTTCTGACCCTTTTCTTTACAAAAAAAATAAATAAAATAATAAAACCATCTTCAATTTTTTTAAATAAAAGGATTCTTGAAAATAGCAATTTATGAAAATGCATTCAAAATAGTCAAGACCTAGAAATATTCAACTGTTTCTGAGTTATCATGCAAAAGGCACTGTTCAAAATATTAAGTTAAGATGTAATGCCTTACTTGAAATTTTGTAAGACAGCAGATTTTAAGTATTCTTACCACATACACACATATGAAAGGTAAGTACGAAAGGTGATGAAAATGTTATTTAACTTGACTGGTAATTATTTACCAACATAAATATATATCAAAATATCATGATATATACCTTCTTCATAATTTTATTTATAAACTACATTTCAATAAAGTTGGAAAATGGGGGGGGGGGATCGATGTAATTTCTCTCATCATAGAGTTTGAGATCAAAGAAAAATATTTTACAAAGACTAAAAGCTGAGTATTACACATGGAAAAGTTCTGTCCATATAGTCAAATAATGTGAGAAATCACAATAAATGAACATAGAACATGAAGTATTTATAAAATAAAAAATTTGGTCAGATTTTCAAAATGAGCTGTTATCGCCCTTTTCTACAGAGAAAGTAATAATACTCATAAGTAGATCATAGTTTGAAATGCAATCCAATATAGCTTTTACATACCAAAAGAAAGATCTTTACTTTCTTATAACAAAGGCCCATACATACTGAACTAGAAAGTCTCTATCACTGGTAATAAGTTTGACTGATTAATAAATATTTATTGACTGCTAAAGTGTTTAGAATTGGAAGAAAAGGGCTTGGAAATGTTTAGTTAACTACTAATCATAGTTTTATACCTATTCAACTCATTGATCCTCTCTGAGTGATCCAACAAATATTTAATTTCTCACCAATAAAATCAGATTCTAAAAACACTAAAGAAAACCTTAATTTGAGAAGAGTAAGGAATAGTAGATAAAGTAGACACTTGAGAAAACACATGGTCCTATAATCACAATCAAGGCTAAAGTCAGGCATGGTGGCACATGCCTGTAATTCCAGCTACTCAGGAGGCTGAGGCAGGAGGATTTGAAGTTGAGTAAACCCGGACAGTTTAGTGATATGCTCCCTAATGCTTTATTGTCTTCTAATAGATAAAAAGGGTTAGGGATGGAGCTCAGTGGTAGAGCACTTGCCTATGCATGAGGCAATAGGTCCAATCCTTAGCACCACATACACACACAAAAAAAGCGACCAGTCAAATAGATTAGAGAAGTAACATGAAAATTAACTGCTAGCCAGGTGCAGCAGCACACCAGCAACTCAGAAGGCTGAAGCAGGAGGATCACAAGTTCAAGGTCAGCCTGGACAACTTAAGAAAACCCTGTATCAAAACTAAAACCAAAAGGACTAGAGTAGCTTAGAGTGCTAACCCAGAGCATTCCTGGGTTCAATCCCTATCACTAAGTGGGGGGGTGGGGGGAGGAATTAACTACTATCCACATTTTGTCAATAAAAGGAGAAGCACTTAGATCAATTTAATTGTTAAATATTCATTTCCCAGTGGGGGAAAAAATCAGGATTATATCCAAAAATTTCTAAGTAGAGTGGCATAAGTATATCTTAGAAGACAACAGAGGGCTGGGGTAGATAGCTTAGTGGTAGAGCTAAGTGTGCACAAGGCCATGAGTTGGACCAGCAACCCCCCCCCCCCCAACACACACAAAGCAATAAAAATATGCACATTGAAAGTAGTAGACTATGGGGCTGGGATTGTGGCTCAGCGGTAGAGCGCTCGCCTAGCACGGGCAGGATCCTGGTTCGATCCTCAGCACCACATAAAAATAAAGGCATTGTGTTGTGCCCATCTACACCTAAAAAATAAATTTAAAAAAAAGAAAAAGAAAGTAGTAGACTATGGTTTATAATTAACTGTAAGAAAAGAACTTGAGCTATAATACAAATACTGAAAGTGAAAACTCAAGTCAATTTGTGACACTCAACTTCTAAATAATAATAATAATAAAAATGCTATATCATACTACATACAAGATAACATTTCAATTAGGTGCCCAAATTTTACATTCATTGTCTTTAACCTCAAAGGTATTTTATTTACACTTTAGAAGTAAGAAAACTGAGGAGGCTGGGGTTGGGAGGGGGAACATGGGAAGATTACAGGAACTCTAGATAGGGCAAAGGGGAGGAAGGGGAAGGGAGGGGGCAAGGAGGCAAAAAGATGGTAGAATGAGATGGACATCATTACCCTAAGTACCTGTATGAAGACACGAATGGTATGAATATACTTTGTATACAACCAGAGATATGAAAAATTGTGCTCTATATGTGTAATATGAATTGTAATGCAGTTTGCTGTCATATATAACAAATTAAAATAAAAAATTTTTAAAAAAGAAAAATAATTAACCAGATGAAAAATCTCAACAAAAAAAAAAGTGAGAAAACTGAAGTTCAAAGAGGTTAAGCAACTTGCATAGTAAGTGGGAGAACCTAGATCTGAATGCAAAACCCATACCTAAACAGATCTCAAGGTATACATACCCTGCTGTCTTGGTATCTGCTGTGTGGATTCCACCTTTGATCTTCTCTGGTGTAAAGGTTACTTCAGTTGAACCAATTGCTGCCCCCTCCAGCTGCCCATCACATAAATCTCGAATCATTTCCAGTCCAGATAAATGTTGAGGCCTTCAGGTCATAATACTGCATCAAAACGTGTGCATTCAGACTGCCTATATCCCCACATTTTATGATATTTATAAAACTGCAACGGCAAGGAAACAGCAAGATCTAACCACAATAAGTGCCCCATCCTCGGCGTCGGAGCTATCTCTTTGGTTTTTATGCACTTAGACTACCTCCTAGTAGGCATCACTTTAAGGGTTTCTTTGAGACTCCTTATTTTGGCTATAAACGACCGCACAATCTGGCCACTGTCTCGACAGAGAGGTCCAAGGGCCACCCCTCAGAACCCGCTCCCAGGACCCAAGGCCGACCGACCGCGACCTCCCGGGCTACACTCCGGACCACCAGGTCGGCGACGCGCGCGCTCGCAGCCGGCTCCGCGACCCCCGACTCCACCCTCCAGCTCCCAGCCGCCGCGATTACCTCAGGCCTGGCGTGCTGCGGCCCGCCCGGATCTTCTGCACCCGCAAGGGGAGGCCCAGGACACAGCTGAGGGCGGTGGAGACCCTGAGGATCTGGCCGCCCTGGAACGATGGGGGGCGAAGAGAAGGCGTAAGAACGTCAACCGCGAAAGTCCCGGTCCCCAACCAGAGCCCAGCCGCTCGGCCTCCGGCTGCACACTCACCCCTTCCAAGATCCCGCCGTCGACCTCCACCCGCTGCCCCGCCATGGGGGGCGCGCTGGGGCCTGGCCCGCTGCGACAACGCCTTTGCAGCAGAAAGAATAAACGCCCCGCAGCTCCGAAACTTCGATCCACGCCCGGGGTTGCGGAGTTCTCCGCGAAAGCGGAAGAAGCGGAGCCTCCCAGGAAACCCGATCCGCCGGAATGAATCCGGGGTTGGCCCGGTCTGGCCTCTGCGCATGCGTAGCGCCTCGACGCTTCGGGAGGCGGCTCCGGGAATATTCCTTCCCCGCCAGGACCCTTAGCTGTCCGGGAGGTGGTGGGCCGCTGCCGGGTACCTAAGAGTGCTGTAGTTAAGTGTGGACTTGGGAAGACTTGTGTCCTAAACAGTAAAACCTGAAGGTTGTGGAAAATCTCCTTTCCCACTCTTAACCAAATCCTCCAGTTGTTCCGCAGGCTTGTGCTTCATCTATTTTCTTGATAAATATGTGTTAATCTGTTGAGGATCTTGGCATACCCAGTGCTGCAGATTCTTAGAGCTGAAGATTAAGAAAAATCAGAACCCTACACTGTACTAATCACCTTCTCTCTGGACGGATTTGCCTTCTCTGCAACCTCTCTAAGTTTGTGTGCCCTGGCGCACTAATTGAAACCAATGAGCTTCTCATTTCTTGTGGGGTGTGTGTACAGTACTATCTTCTCCCCCGCTCCCCATGAGACACTATGTATTTGTGGGGAGAAAGGGGTAGAACCACTAATGTAACACTCTGAAGGTCAAAGCTATGCCACCTTGTCTGAGAGTAGGTGAAAGCTCTTGCCTTCAATGAACAGTGCAGTGAAACATAATACAACGTAGGCTACAGCAGAAACAACAGCCAGCAGAATTCTTGGTTCTGCTGTAGCTCAATTCCCACATTAATTTAGGACCCAATAATATGTAAGCCTGTAGGTGTGCAAAGAAGAGGTAGAACAGTTAATGCCCCCAAAGCTATTGGAGATATAATGGACAGACTGAGAAGTAATCAATTACAATGCCATCTATAAAAATAATAATTAAGGGCTGAGGATGCATCTCAATGGTAGAGCACTTGCCTATGAGGTCTTGGATTCAACATCATCATCATCATCAATGTACATGGAGACAGTAACTACAATATGATAAACTATAACAATAACAGCCAGTGTTCATTGAGCATTGCACTGTTCATCCCATTCTTTCACAGTTTGATAAAGTTCTTACTGTTTTATAGCATCCTGTGTTAATCAAGTCTATGTTAAAATAGTAATCAGGGAAAGTAATAATATCTGCATTTAGAATGATAGGTTTGATAGTATTCGGAGGATTAATTAGGGGCCTAAGGACCTGAAAGCAGAAATGCCTTCTCTCTTGCCTAAGGCAAGAGAGAATGAAAAGTTGAAGTAAGGCAGTGGCAGCAGGGATACAATAAAAAAGCTATGCTTGTAACTATAATATAATATATATATATATGTATATATACATACACACACACACACACACACACTGGATTATGAACCCCCTGAGCTACATCCCCAGCCCTCCTCCCCTTTTTGAGACAGATTCTCAATAAATTTCTTAGGCTGGCCTTGTAGTCACAATCCTCCTGCCTCAGCCTCCCTAGTTACTAGAATTAAGGGCATGCACTACCATATCTAGTACTATCTGACATCTTAGATTCCTATAAGAGAAACTCAACCTCCTCAGAAGAAGGTTTGCCCTTGCTTTGATTGTTTTATTGACTGATTGCAGTGTGGAGATCAAATCAAGAGGATTTTGCAAATCCTAGGCATACCCTCTGCTACTGAGCTGTACTTTGCGCCCTGGCTTGTTTACAGTATTGAGGGTTGAACCCAGGGACTCGTGCATGCTAAGCAAATGCTCTACCACTGAGCTGCATCCCCAGTCCTTTCTTTAAATTTTGAGACAGGGTCTCACGAAGTCACCCAGACTTAAGCTTGCAATGCTACTGCCTCAGTTTCCCAAGTAACTGGATTACAGGTATGTGCCCCCATGCATGGCTCTGGCTTGTCCTTTTAATTTCTAATTCTCACTCCTGGATCTGACCCATTTGCCCCATTACAGTTACTTTCAGTGTAGAGGGAAGTAAACAAAAGATGGTATATGACATAGAAACTACCCAGGTATTACGGTTTGGATATGAAATGTACCCGAAAGGCCATGTGCTAAAGACTTGGTCCCCAGCTGGTGATTTTGTAGATAACTGGGGACATGACTGAAGAGTTTATTTTGTCCCTAGATCCTTCCTTTCTCTCTTGCTCCTTCCTAGCCACCATGAGATGAGCAGCTTTGCCTGTCACACTCTACCCACCATGATGTTCTGCCTCATCATGAGCCCACAGCCATGTGGCCCAGCAAGTATGAAATAAAACGTATGAAACTGGGATCCAAAATAAATCTTTCCTTCTTCATGTTGTTTTTCTCAGGTATTTCATCACAGTGACATCAAGTTGACTAATACGCCAGTCGAGAGTAGATAATAATAATCATGTGTATAGCGCTATATTCACGTTTACAACAAAACTGTAAAGTTAGTGTTTTGTCGTTATAAGATGATGTAACAGATAAGTGGCAAAGTTGCATTAAATTCTGTATCTTTTAAATTATCTACAGGAAAAGGACAGTTAAGCTGATACCAGATTTCTCAACAGAACACTGTCAAAGGACAGTGGATTCATATCTTCAGAATCATGACAGTCATTTTCAACCTGGAATTGGTACCTAGCAAAATTATCTCTCAAAAATGGGGGCAAAGTATAGAAATAAGATAATTTCTAGATACCTAGAAATTGAATTTAACATCTACATAGACTGTCTAAAGGAATTTTTAAAGGATATTTGCACTTCAGAATGGAAATTATTTCAAAAGGGAAGTCTGATTTATAAGAAAAAATGATGAGCTAAGAAACTGTAATTATGTAGGTAAACCTAAGTAATCATTAGCCAGTACACACCTGTAATCCCAGTGATATAGCACAAGAAAAACTGGTAAATCTACTAACATGTTTTGCAATTGTATCTCAATTATTGGTAGATTAAGCAAATGGGAATTTAGGAAAGAAATGATTCTACACACACACACACATATATAATATTTATATATATATATATAAAACTTCAATCAAATATAAACTACATGATTTTCTTAAGAATTCAGGACACACAGCCAGGCACAGTGGCTCATGCCTGTTGTTATAGTTTGAATGTGAGGTGTCCCCCCAAAGCTCACGTGTGAAAATGCTAGGAGGTTCAGAGAAAAAATGATTACTTTATGAAAGCCTTAACCCAATCAGTGAATTAATCACCTGATAAGATTAATTGAGTGGTAACTGAAGGAAGGTGGGGTGTGGCTAAAGGAGGTTGGGCACTGGGGATGGCTTTAGGGTTTAAATTTGTATCTGGCAAGTGGAGATCTCTCTCCCTCTCCCTGCCCCACACCCTCTCTCTCTCTCTTCTTTCTGATCATCACGTGAGCTGCTTCCCTCTGCTACATTCTTCTGCCATGATGTTCAGCTTCAACTTGTACCCTGAGGAATGGAGCTGGCTATCTGTGCACTGAGAACTCTGAAAATGTGAGCCCTCAAATAAATTTTTCTTCCTCTACAATTGTTCTTGCCGGGTCTTTTGGTTACAGCATCAAAAATGCTGACTAAAATACCTGTAATCCCTAGCGGTTTAGGAGGCTGAGGCAGGAGAATGGTGATTTCAAAGCCAGCTTCAGCAACTCACTGAGACCCTGTCTCTAAAATGTAAAAAAGGGCTGGGGATGTGGCTCAGTGGTTAAGTGCTCCTGAGTCAATTCTCAGTACAAAAAAAAAGCCCTCATGACACATATAAAAGAAGATGAAGCCATAAAGATTTCAACAAATCCAAAGAAATTAGGTTTACACTCATATTCCATACAAAAATGGCAATTACATTAGAAATCAATTTTTAAAAAGACAATTGAAAGCCTGGGGTATACTGGGTGGTAGAGCACTTGTCTAGTTGTGTGAAGCCCTGGGTATGATCCCCAGCACTACACAAATAAATAAATAATAAAAATATATAAATAAGAATTAAAACAACAACCAAAAGACACATATGTTTGGAGATTTATAAACATCTAAATCATTATGGATAAAATAAGAAATGTTAATAGAAAATTTTGTTTATTTGGTTTGGTGTTGGGGATTGAATCCAGGGAGGGCTTTAACAGTAAACATTAGGCACCTTCCTTTCAAAATCATTAAGATCAGAATGCCTACAATGTTGTCAAAAATAAAATCAGATCAAGTTAGAATTTTAAGTTTATTGTGCATAAGTGCTGGAAAACCTCAAATCAAAAAATAGCATGAAGTCTCAGTTTTACAGCAGTTGCAGCACAATTTATAGTGCTCCTACCTGAATGAAGAAGAAAAATCAACAAGAAAACAAGAAGAAAAAATGCATACACAATACAAGGAAAATGGGCTAAAATTATGAATAGGCATTTTAAAAATTGTTAATAAACATTAAAACATTCTCAGCCTTATTATTAATTAGAGAAATTCAAATTAATACCATTATATCATCTTGTAATTACTAAACTGGGGGAAATGTTTAAATCTAGATCTGACAATACCAAAGGAGGAACAATGGATTCTCCCTTACACAGCTACTAGACATGTTTCATATAATCGCCTTGCAAAACAACCTAGTGTTATCTAGGGTAAAGTTGAAGATAAGCATAACTTTGTTTTAGATTTTGGTCTTTTTTTAATATTTATTTTTTTTTAGTTTTCGGCAGACACAACATCTTTGTATGTGGTGCTGAGGATCTAACCTGGGCCGCACGCATGCCTGGCGAGCGCACTACCACTTGAGCCACATCCCCAGCCCCAAGATTTTGGTCTTAATAATCAAAGTGTTGTTGATTAACCAAGAGCATTTGTATACCTGAAGCTTATTAGAGATGCAGACTCTCAGGCCCTAATCAAAATATTCTATTGAATTAGAATGTGTACTTTAACAAGGTCTTCAATTGATACAAATGTTCATTGAAGTCTGAGGTGCACTGTCCTAGAGAAACTCTTGAACATGCATGGGATAAATAATAATGTTCATAGAAACACGGATATGTAGGAGAAAAATGGGGAACAACAGAAATTTGCACTGATTGGAAAGTGGATAAATATGGTATTGTCATCAAAACTGGTTGTAGAAAAGTACATGCAGTCTGATTCCATATTTATGAGACTTGAAAACAAGCGACAGTAAACAATACATTATTAGGGATCCATGTATGTGTATGTGGTAAATTCTAAAGAGAACAATGGGATGATAAGCACAGTTCAGGAAAAGGGTTAGGAGGATAGGGAGAGAGGAGTCAGGAAAGAATCCAAACAGTGATCTTCACCTGCATGAGAAAGGTTCTATTTCTTAAACTGAATAGTGGGTTGAAGGATTTCTGTTATATTATTACATGTGACTTATCTATACATTATAGTATTCTTTTGTTTGCATCTAATCAAACATGATAGCTTTATTAAGATATGCTTAATATACTAAAATTCATCTGTTTAAGTGTGCAATTAATTTTTAGTAGATTTATAGTTATGCAACTGTTGCCACAATCTCATAATAGGAAATTTCCCCCACCAAAACCAAAATCAAATAAAAAAACCCCAAAACTCTCTTGCCTCTTTGTAGTCACTACTCATTCCCATTCCCATCCCCAGGTGAACCAATTATCTAATACAATAAGATTAGTTAATATAATAAAACTGATCTGTGTTCTGTCTCTGTAAATTAATCTTCTTTGAATGTTTCATTTTAATTAATTGCTTGTGGAAATATGGAGCCACTTTGGAAGACAGCTTGGCAATTCTTTTTTTTTTTTTTAAGAATTTAACCTTTATTTTTTATGTGGTGCCAAGGATCGAACACAGTGCCTCACCTGTGCTAGGCAAGCACTCTATCACTGAGCTACTGAACATTTCATTTTAATTAGAATCATATAATACATATGTGACTTTAGTGTCTGGATTCTTTTACTTAGGGTAATATTTTTGTGGTTCAGCCATGTTACAGCATATATCCATACTTCAGTCATTAAGGATTAATAATATTCCTTTATATGGCATACCACATTTTGTTTATTCAGTCTCCTACTGATGGACATTTGTGTCATTTCTAGTTTTTGGCTATTATGTTATTATGATTTTTTTACAAGTCTGTGGACACATTTTAATTTCTCTTAGTTAGATATGTAGGAATGGAATTGGTGGGTCATAATTGACTTTGTTTTAACCCAAAATAAGAATGGGGTCTTAAATTCTTTTGAACTCAAGTGACAGGATTAACTAGTCAATAGGTAGAATATCTCTTGATGCTGGAAAGATAAGAACACATATACTATGAAAGCAGTAGTCCATGGAGGTAAAAGATGATAAAAGGAAGAAGTAAATTAGTTATTTTCTGAGAAGGAACAGTTAAAGGGAAAGTTAAGAGGAAGAACATTGTCTAGTGACCCTGGGAAGAAAAATCATTTACTTCAAAGGTATAACTTCTACTTTTTATGCAAACTCATATATGTGGGATTATTAAATATATTAAAAATGCCTATAAAATTTTCGATGGTCTGAGTTTGGTAGTGCATGCATGTAATCTATGGAGGCTGAGGCAGGAGGATCACAAGTTGGAGGCCAGTATCAGCAAATTTTTCTTAAAATAGAAAGAATTGGGATATAGCTCAGTGATAGAGCACCCGGGGTTCAATTCCCAGTATCCCCAAAAAATGCAAATGGGAAAGTTTTAAAAAAATATAAGTTTTTTGACTATCAAAGATTTTCTGAGAAAGGTAATTATTTATATTTCTTGTTACAGTAGCTGTATGTGTGTGTAAAATACACTGAAAGGCAATGACCCCCACCCCCAGTGTAATATTAATATTACCCTCAGGGTAATATTAAACAGGGTTATATTAAAAAATATTAAAATTAATATTAAATATTGTGAAATGCCTAGAATTTTGTACTATTACCACTAACCTTCAGTGTTGAGGATTTACAATGTTGTCTTTGATTTGCATTTTTCCTCTATAGTTCCTTAGACATTTGTGTGGATTTTAATTTTCATGTAAGAGGCAAGTACAAATGTCATCCTGGACATTTTTAGAAGTTGTTTTCCTAGTAAATCTGAGGGTGATGCTTATTGAAGAAAACTCTTATCTTTTCTTTACCATTTCCACTTGACCTGAATTTGGCATTTTTTCAAGAGGCAAATAAGTCAAGATTATATGTGGGTGACATACACTGCCTATGCTGGGCTGTTGTATCTAACAACATTTTGTAAGAAGGAACGATAATGACGATGACATGTTTATTTTAGAGGTTGAGTAAACTTGCTCATCTTTTATGAGGAA